TACGGTTACCGGGGTCCCTAAGCCTGCCCCTAGTATTAGAGCTGAAGGCATCTAATGCAAAGGTTATTGGATCTGATGGATCCGTAAGGACGTGTCTAGGGCGTCGACGGTGACTGGCTCCTGCATGATCAGGATTCGGGGAGTAGTCAGCGGCGGCAACGATAAGGCGATTATCATGACGCATAGCCTTATCGAAGTATCGTTCCGACGCTGACTTCATGTATTTCCGAATTGATTCGAGGCCCAGGTCATCGTGTAGGTCAACGTTCCTCACGAACCACGGAGCCCCGACAGCTAACCTGCAAAAGCGGGATTGTAGGGATTGGAGGGTGTCTATGTGTGTGCGGGCCGCGTGAGCGAACACCACACTCGCGTAAGTCATGACGGGGCGAAATGACGTGTTTGGAGCGACGTCGACTGCTTTCCATTCTGTCCGCAGGATCGGGAATGTAGTTACCGGCGGCCACGATGAGAGGGTTCTCGTGTCGTGCCGCTTTATCGAAGTGGGAATTGAAGAGAAATGAGATTTGAAGTTTTTATTTGTATTGCTAAGATGGCAGGACCAGCTTCCGGCTCACCTAGTATTAAGTGGTCACCGGATCCTATAGACATCAACGATGTTAATGTTGCCGCCCATATTGAGACATGAGTTCTAAGTCTCTAAGTTTTTACAGGTTTCTATTACAGTTAATTTACGGAAGAGTTATAAAACAACGACAAGGCAACGACGTCTAAAACTTGACAGCCCTATTTATAAAGTCAATATGTTAATTGCATTTTTCAGATAAGGCAACCCATATGATCATAGACAGTTTATGTTCTAGATATATTTTCTTTATAAATCAATCAGTACAGCCATCGGCTAATAAGATTGGTAGTTTCCAGATTGGAGAAGTAATAGAACATGTATTTTTTTTTAATTAACATAATACTATAATACTTATCGTGTAATAAAAATCAAAGCCGCAAAATTATATTTGTTCAATTACTTTTAATAGGACGTCTTGTGAGTCCGCACGGGTAGGTAGCACCACTCTACCTATTTCTGCCGTGGAGCAGCAATGCGTTTCGGTTTGGGGCAGCTGTTGTACTGTAATAACTGAGAACTTAGAGCTCATGTCTCAAGGTGGGTGGCGGCATATACGGCTCCAGTAACCACTCAACACCGGGTAGACTGTGAGCTAGTTTACCCGTCTGACCAATAAAACGACTTTGTGTGGATATCGGTTGTAAACTAACAATTGATTAGATTTTTTTTAACCTGTTCTTGAGGTTAGAGCGAAGTTACTCTTAACCCACAGACACACCCACTGAGTTTCTCGCCGGATCTTCTCAGTGGGTCGCGTTTCCGATCCGGTGGTAGATTCTGCGAAGCACGGCTCTCGCTAGGGTTCGTGTTAGCAACGTGGAGCCCCGTGAGCTTCTACCTACTAGTTCGGTGAATCTAGAATAACCCCTCAGGTTACTAGAATAGGTAGGAAAAAAAGAAGAAGCTAATAAGGTATTTGTAAAGTTATCGGTTCTTGACGCGTGTTAATCAGACGTCTTTAGTCGGTGAAACGACATTCAAAGATCCGTCACAAATAAAATATTTTTTTTTATTGCTTAGGTGGGTGGACGAGCTCACAGCCCACCTGGTGTTAAGTGGTTACTGAAGCCCATAGACATCAACAACGTAAATGCGCCACCCACCTTGAGATATCAGTTCTAAGGTCTCAGTATAGTTAAATCGGCTGCCCCGCCCTTCAAACCGAAACGCGTTACTGCTTCACGGCAGGGTGGTGGTACCTACCCGCGCGGACTCACAAGAGATCCTACCACCAGTGTATAGTACAGTAAACATAAATTTACTAAGATAAGTTAAAATTGTGTTAAATAAAAAGATGTACAAGAACCATACGTGCAAGACAGTCCTTCTCATGTATACAGCGTCCGCTCTTGTGTCTTATGAGCGGTGGACGGCAGAGGCATCCTCGAGTGCAAACTCCTGGAGGGCACGAAGGCGTCGGCTCAGAGCAGCTGGGCTCGCACCAGCCGCACGACAAGTATTCCTCACCGGAGCCGCAGTCTTCCATTGACAAATCTCGAACGCCAAAAGCTACTTGCGCTAGAGTTTAATTAAAGTTAAAAGAGGGTATTTAGTATTAAAAATGCATATCGTATTCTCGCATTAAAACTGTACTAGTGATCCGCTGGTAGTCGAAATTCAACTATAACCAATGGAAATTATAAGTTTGTACATTATTATGATTCTATTGTCAAGGACTATTATACTTTACACTACTATTAATCACAGATTTCGTCAAAACTACACTTTAGACAAATATTAATAAAGAGAAAACAATATTTAATCTATTCTCAATTTGACAGACTTTATCTGACAGACTGCAAAGAAAAGTTGGACAATAAACAAATAGTATGCACGCGTGTGTGTGTCAAATACATTGTAGTGTGTGTACTGTTTTCTTTATTGATTTAATGTATCTTTTATGCATTATTTTAAGAAAATATTAGCATTGTGCACTTCTTCACTTCATAATCTCTTTAGTGTGGAAAATTTCATACTCCACCGTCCGCGCAATTTTTGTAAAAAGGGATACAAAGTTTTTGCTTCACGTATTAAATAGACTCGTTTCATTGCCCCATTCATTCCGATGGAAACCGGTTACTTGAATCTTGCATCACGTTGCTGTAGTCTGCGTAAGATCATATGTCCACCTTGTCAATGAAAGGTCATGGGTTCGTGTAATTTCTCATATTAATTTCCCAGAAAACTATGAGATCAATTGGATATATTCAATGACAGCGGTGTCTTGACCTTATTAAGAATATAGTCTGATTTTACGTCGGCAGTTTTTTAATTAGATTGGACATTTGCTCGTTTGAGTAGATTTCTTTATCTGATGCAATTGAACAATGTAGAAAAAAAAAATTCAGTTTTATTGAAACTGAGTTGTGTAATAGGACGTATGATGTTTGTTAAACAAGAAAATTAAAGTATACTGTGACTAAATCAGAAAGGCACAATTATATTTATCATTATTATAATATTTTGCTAATAATTGCTATTATAATGTTTGGTCGTATTATAAGGTTTGGTTGGTTGTAGATTGATTGATATAAATTGTAGAAATTTACTTGAAATTATTATTCAAACATTAATTGAGCTCAATTAAATGTCAGAGAAACTAGATAGAAAGAGTATTAAGAGCCTGCATAGATTAGGAATAGCCGTTGTAGGTACGTTTTGATTAGCCTCATCTCGACCTCATGTCTGAAGGGTGGGTGAAGGTATTCACCTTATGGTTTCTAAGGGTTTGATAACCATTTAAAACCAGGTACACATTGCGCATATTCTCTCGTTAGTGAAAAAAAATAGTTTTACTGATTAGATTAATTTCAGACAACCCTAAATTAATTAGTTGTATTGTATTGCTGTAATGACAGAAAAATATTCAAATTAGTATTTGAATATTTGTATTTGAAATAAGAATTTATTAATTAATTATTTCAGGTTGCTTTTTGTTTAAGCCGTCAGTGGATACTGCCGTCACTGATGGATCACCGTCAGTGGATGCCATTGACAAAGTTGTACTGTATTTACAGTAAAATTCAATTTTCAGAAATTTCACAAATTTTCAGAATTTTTTTTTTTTACTGCTGTTACTTGAAATGACTACAGATATACATCGAACAGAATCGAATACAAATGTGATAAAAGGAAGAGAAGAAAATACGTTGGATTATTTACATTTTATTCAACATTAATAAATACAATATGGCTAAAAATAATTCTACACATATTTACATACAAATTTAAAGTGCTCGTATTAAATTTTGTGCTTTAATATTATTTTGTTTTGTTAAAATCACAATAATTACAAGACATCGTAACATAGATCAATACATCACAGACAATCAAGTAAGATTTTTTTTACATCAATAGCGTTTGCTTGCATTAGCTAGAACATCAGAAAAAACACACAAAGCAGAAAAAGTATGGACTACACTAGCTTAGAAAAAGTATCTGATATAGGAGACAAGTTGAAAAAGTATCCAATTGTAAGTAACAAATATGGCCGTCAGCGTAAAAGTGGACTAGCACACAATTTTCCATATTGGTGCTTATATATTGCAATTTATTTAAAACGTAATAAATTTTGATGCAAAAATGGTTTATGTTTTACTTACACATAGATAAGAGATGGCTTTGTAAACATAATTTTTTTTCGGATTGTTTTTGGCTACGAAGCCATGTAAAAGTAAATTCATACCCCATTATCTCCATACTAACTATGGTAAGCTTAGGTCACTTTTACGCTGACGGCTATAAATTAGAATTCAAAAACACACCAAAAGAGCGCTAGCGTATCGGTATAGTATAAAATTAGCAGTTAAAAACGAACTAAAGCGTAGAGTTGAAATTGTTTACAGATTTTTTGATACAGAGATAATAGAAGTAGACTAAATAAGAACGCCATTTGTTTTATATCGATTCAGAAAAATACTAAAAATTCTATTTAATGAAAAGAAGTTTAAGAATATCAGTGTTTGCGAATATCGAACATATTGCTCCGTCTACGAACCATCAGGACAATCTTCCTGTTTAACGCAGCTTCCGTGAACAGATTTAACATAGCCCTCTTGGCAGAAGCATCCTCTCTGACAGGTTTGGTTGCACACAGGGTTAGGATTACTGCAGGTTTTGTCACAGGTGCCACACTTCTTGTACACTTGATAGGGACCGCAGTTGACGCGGGAAGGGATTGGCTGTTTGTAGTTTTCTGAAAGAATATTTACTAGCTTGATTAATGGCAGTATTAGACGGTTAGAGTAGTATTACTTGGTATTACGTGGTAGGACTTCTTGTGAGTCCGTGCGGGTACGTACCACCACCCTGCCTATTTCTGCCGTGAAGCAGTAATGCGTTTCAGTTTGAAGGGTCGGGCAGCCATTGTAACTATACTGAGACCTTAAAACTCATATCTCAAGGTGGGTGGCGGCATTTACATTGTAGATGTCTATAGGCTCCGGTAACGACTTAACACCAGGTGGGCTGTGAGCTCGTCCACCCATCTAAGCAATAAAGTTTTTTTAAATTAAAAACGTTATATGTGTGCACGCTAAGACACGTCCGTACAGGTAATTAATACCTATAAAGAAACTGCGCGAATAATCGGTATTCCGACGTTCCGCACTTTATACGAATTAATAGAGAGTCGATATATCGACTATCAACGGGTAAAGATTTCGTTCGTCTAGACATGGACAATTATTGATCTTACGTTAAATGAAGTGAAAAGTCTACACACCTCCAAGCTTAAGATGCTTTAAGTTTGAGCACTGTTCCAATTCCACGCATTTTCCGTCTTTGTCCCTCACCAGACCGTCTTTACAGAAACATCCTCGGGCGCACTGCGCTGGACACACCGGGAACGGATTCTCGCAAGTCCTGTTACAGGGCTCGCAGAATTTGTACTCCTCATTTTGAGGGCACTTTCCTCCATCGAATCGTGGTTCTGTTGTTTGCAGCTTGTATGCGGAAGCTGGAAAAAATAGAGCAGGTTAAAGAATTAGGGATTCATACGTCAGAGCAATTTTTTATTTCGTTGCATTACACGGCTGTAAGTTAAAATGAAAATTACGGTCAATGGTGATTGTATTAGCAGTAGAGATGCGAATGTTGTGATGGATGTGTGGAGTCATGAGAATGGATAGAATACGGAATGAATATGTTAGAGGAAGTCTGAAAGTGGCACCTGTGACAGAGAAGTTGAGAAGTGCGCACTTGGGATGGTATGGACATGTGATGAGACGAAATGAAAATGAGGTCGGTAAGAGAATGTTAACTATGAATGTAGAAGGATATACAGGAAGAGGTAGACCTAAGAAGAAATGGATGGATTGCGTGAAAGATGATATGGGTAAAAGGGGTGTGAGCGAAGAAATTACCATTTCTTCGCTCACACCCCTATATCATATACCTATGATCCCAGGTGACTGGGAGAAGGGCAGGATAATGATGGTGATTGTAATAATGGTTTTTATTATTAATATATTAAACGCTTATTTATGCAGCTAAAGCTTTAGAAGTGGTTTAATCAGCAGGCTAGACAGGACAATGGTCGTAAATCCTTGTAAGTAATTCAGGAACACACAAGCATAAAAAAAAACATGTTTTTACAGGACGAAGAAAAGTCTGCAGTGAGAGATCTTTTAAAGGACTATAGGATGCCTCTCAGCAGGCAGAGATGGGGGCACATCGTGAGACGTATTACATTTTCCCATTCTAATACGACCACTCCGTGTAATAACTAAGAAGTGGAAAGAATGGAGAAAAGATAATTGATTGAAAGTTGTTGTTTTTCTTCAAGTTCCACATTGAACTTATTGTTTTGGCATGGTAAGACAGTTTATGATCCGAAAGCCTCTTCAACATTAGTATTATGGAGAGGGGGAAGCACGACACGAGCTTAACCAGGAGGAACATTGAACAAAGGGCTGGCTTAATGTGCTGAAACTGAACCAATCCGGATTTATCGCTAAAAGCGAAGATTAGGCACACGTGAGGGGTCATCGTGAGCTCGCTAAGAGCATCACGTACGCAACGTTGTACACAAACAAGCGCTTAAAACTAAAACTACCCACCTAATTGCCCATCGTTTGAGGATATTAGCAATAAGGCACAAGCCAAGTTGCTGCCTGGCGTTTAGGACTGTTTTTACAACTCGTTTGAATAGTAAATAAAGATGAACTATTGGCCAACATAGCGATATTTGGTTAAAGTCACCCTGTCTGCCAAGAACCTACGACAGGGACAAACAAATAACACTAAATGCGATGGGTTTTTTTATTTTTAATTTTTTTATGGCTTAGATGGGTGGACACGCTCACAGATCACCTGGTGTTAAGTGAGTACTGGAGCCCATAGACATCTACAACGTAAATGCGCCACCCACCTTACAACGGCTGCCCCGCCCTTCAAACCGAAACGCATTACTGCTTCACGGCAGAAATAAAGAAGAATAGTAAAGAAATATGATGATACCTCCGAGCCCTCCTCACAGAATTTACGGTACAAAAGACACACAATTATCAACGCTTTGAGAAAACCTCCCAAATTATAATAATACTAGCCGTACTCGCCCGCTTCGCTGGGCAGTTAAAATTAACATTTTAGGGAGTCCAACACTCATATAAATTATCTATTAAGGACGCTTATTTTCTACATGGATACCAAGTTTCAAGTCAAACGGATGCATGGTTCAGTAGTTATAACGGGACATCCGTAAAAACCACTGTAGATTTATATATTAGTATCCATCTATACTAATAATAATGGTATCATCATCATCATTCTCCAACCCTTCTCCCAGCTACCTTGGCGTGGTTGGCGCAACATGTTTTCTCCTTCCATACTCCTCTATCATATACCATTTCTTCGCTCTTCATAATAATACGGTACGCTTATTTGAAATACTAACCGGCTTGAGGGCAGTCGGCTAAGTTCACGCAGACCCCGTTGTCGTTGTTAACTTGTCCCTCCTCGCAGAAGCAGCCGGTAATGCACATCGCTCTGCAGTTCGGCGCTGGGTTCCGACACGTTTTACGGCAGCCGCATTCCAAAAAACGCTCGTTTGCTCTACACAATGAGGCTACTTGACCTGAGAATATGAGGTTGTTTGTTCAGTGATACTGTGATTATTTTTTGGAACGAAGTTCCATATGGGATGATGCGGAGGGGACCCTAACCGGGATAGAACGTCCGTAACGTAAGATTTTTAATAGTAATGCACACAGTGTACGACTTAACTTTGTAATAACGTACAAAAAATAACATATTTTTTATCATTCATTGAGCATGATCTCAGAGTGTTCGTTTGCGCAATACACTAACTCTTATGCAAACAACCGTGAATGAAGTGTACCACAATAAGTTCGGACGTTACCGAATGACCGTGGGTTGTTGCGAAGCCTCCAGTTTTATTTTCCTTATACCTCGACTTTAACTTCAAATTAATATTTTTATAATAAGGAACTTCGTTCCACACACACCTTTTTTCTCCTACCTATTCTAGTGACCTCGAGGGGTCATACTAGATTCACCGGGCGAATAGGTGAGCTCACAGGGCTCTAACTTGTAGACATTGCTAAAAATAGCCCTAGCAAAAGCAGTGCTTCGCAGAATCTACCACCGGATCGGAAACGCGACCCACTGAGAAAATCCGTCGAGAAACTCAGTGAGCTGTCTGTGGGTTAATTCACTTGTCGAGCCCTTCGTCGCAAGCGACGGGTTCGACGAGAACGTTGACCGGTGTTTGAGGTACCTAAAAGCACCGTTAATGGATCGGGAGGATCCATAATGACGTGTTTAGGGCGACGTCGACTGTTTACCATTCGGTCTACAGGATCGGGTATGTACTTCCTGGCGGCCACCACAAGAGGGATTTCGTGTCGTGCCGCCTTCTCAAAATGGCGCAATGATGCCGACTGTATGCGTTGTTATTGAAAGGGTGCAATGACCATTATATAATAGAATTGGGACTTCGAACTCATGTCGCATGGTGGATGTCGGCCTTCACACTGACATGTATGGTTTTTGAAGTGAAACTTCTTTAGGCGCATTCAGAATATAATTTGATTCGCGACAGATTTGTAGACAGAAAATAGACAATTTAGGAAGAGCGAGAGTGAGATAATAGACAGAGCGTCTCGCGAACCACTCGATCGTGGAGACAGAAAGGACAAAGCGAGTTAGTTCATTACTCTTATACACAGCATTCTTTATTACAAGAGAAATTTGATTTAAGGATGAAAAATTAAAAAGACCACAATACTCATAGCAAAAAAGAAGTTTCACTTCTTTCACGTGCATTTTTTTTATTGCTATTGAAGGCAGTCGAGGTTACGGCTCAGTTGATGGTGAATGGTTACCGTCGCTCGTGGACGTCAGCAACGCCAGGGGCAGAGTTAAATCGCTTTTTTTTTCCTACCTAAGCTGAAAGCGCTGAGAGGGTATTTCAGCGTAACCTTAACTAGTAGGTGAGCTCAAGGGCTCAAGCCTGACGACAAAATCGCTGTCTATCCTTTGGGTATATATGTGTGGGTTCCGGCTACCACTTTCAATAAGCTAGGTCGCGAGCCGCTGTCATCTATCGTAAGTAATGAAACAACTAATCATGTTAAAGAAAGTTATCTTATTTAATAAACGAACTAGAGGACGAGTTTTGCTCGGTTTTTTTTTTTGATAAATTGTGTTTTTTAGAAATTATATTTAAATACAAATTAAATATTGATAATATATTATATTATTTGTTTTTTTTTTCAATAAAAAAATAAAAATTTATGTTTAAGTTGATTATCGATAAAGTTGATTATTGAAAACACGTATAAAACAACATTTTCTTAAAATAAATCGTAGCTAGTTCGATTGATCGCTCCCGAAATCCCCTGTATACTAAATTTTATGAAAATCGTTGGTGCCGTGGAGAGATTCAGATTATATACCTAGTCAGGTCATAAATTCTGTCACATGTTTAATGTAAAATAATTGAAACAAGTTTATTCATTATGACCCCATTTATATACCAAAATGAACTTAACAAAACATAGATTCTTATGACACTAAAGTTTATTCAAAATGACCTCCGTGATTTTGAATACAGGCCTTCAATCTGCGCGGCCAGTCGTCTATCGCAGCACGAACGAGGTCCATGTCAATATCGGCGGCTGCCTTAATCAAGGATGTCTTGAGTGACTCCAAATTGGGATGAGGCTTTGAGCACGCCTTTTCCTCCAAGTGTTGCCATATCTTGTAATCTAACGGATTCAAATCTGGACTGGAGGAGGGCCAGTCTTCGTGCCGGATGAAGTCGATTTCACGCGCCGCCAGCCAGTCTTGTGTGCTCTTCGCTCTATGAGCTGGCGCCGAATCTTGTTGGAATACCCAGTGCCTGTTATTGAACATGGTATGAGAAACAGGTTCCACAAGGTTCGTCAGGACTGTATTTTGATACACAACTGCATTCGTTTTTACACCTTTCTCACAAAAATGTACCTCTGTTAAGCCCCAATAAGAAACTCCCAACCATACCATGAGCGAGGATGGAAAATGACCTCGTTGGACACGCGGAATACGGTTGCTCGCTTCTTCACTACTGTGTGCGTACACCTTATCATTTTGTTTGTTGTAGCTCTCTTCTACGGTAAAAATTTTTTCATCCGAAAAAAGAATTTCCCGATATTTTTTTCCCGCGTACCGCTTCAACAAAGCGCGGCATCTCTTCAGTCTCAGGTCCATTAGACGAGCATTCAAACGATGTCCTGTTTTTCTTCGATATGCCCGAAGCCCTAAGTCTTCATTTAACACCCTTTTCACCGTGGTTCTGCTTAACCCCATCTGAAGGGCCAACAGTTTCTGCTTACGTTTGGGATTTCTTTGAATTCGCGCCTTCACAGCTTTTATCACTGCTGGAGTCCTAACAGACCGAGGGCGACCACTTCTTGACCTGTCATCTACACTAGAGTCTTCATTGTATCGTTTGATGGTACGATAAACGAATCTTTTGGTTATATTCAAATTTTTCAGTATGTTAAAAATTTGAATTGGCGCGTAACCGCAACGATGCAATGCAATAACTGCAACACGGTCTTCTTTAAGCGTCCACTCCATATTTAAAAATGAGTTAAATTCTAAAAGTATACATTTTTAGTTTCATGAACAATTCGAAATTCGAATTCAATAAACTTTTTTGTGGCCAGCATTCTAAAAGAAAAGTTTTTACTGTGTGACAATACTTATGACCTGACTAGGTATATAGATATATACAAGAATTGAGAGATTATATATACAAGAATTGCTCGTTTAAAGATATAAGATTTGTTATGCGCGCCGTTGAGAAAGTTAGGTCGTAGCTCGTTGTCAGTGTCATTTAAAATTACCCACATAACTCATATCGGGTTCTGACAAGCGTACCATCATTCAACAACGCATTCTAAAAAAAGCGTCATTTATAATTGTTCGATTCAATGATTACAAACTGGACAGCTGTGTGTGTTTACTAATAAACTGGAATGGCGGCTTGTTAGTTGCAACGAGGATCGAAAGTCGATATATTAATAGCGTCGGTGGAAATTGTGGTTGTGAATGTAGTTAGCCAGAAAAAAAAGACAGCGTTTTTTTTTTGTTTTTTTTTTTTTATTGCTAAGATGGTTGGACGAGCTCACAGCCCACCTGGTGTTAAGTGATTACTGGAGCCCATAGACATCTACAACGTAAATGCGCCACCCACCTTGAGATATAAGTTCTAAGGGTCTCAGTATAGTTACATATTTATACAGTTATATATTTATTAAAACACGATAATTTTTAACGCCTAACGCCTATAGACAATCAAACGAAACGATTTTGGTACGGACACGAATTGCTTTCAATTAAGTTACAATAATTAATATAAGTAGTGTGAAGTGTAGGGCTAAAAGAGAAACGATGACGTAATTAAGTTCAGATATGGCCTCCTGATTACGTAGTGAGTTAAATTTCAGAAAAAAATAGTTGAATGTAGTGGCGCTAACGATCTTTGACTAAATCCAAATGCCGACTAAAGAAAACATTTTAGTTCCCCGTAAGATACGTGAGGCTATTTTAATTTTATAATAAAAAAACAGCATTTTAACAAAGGATGTTGTTGGCGCTAGTTAACTCTGAGATCCTCTTTTTACCTTTTATTTTTCAGTATGGCAATCAGCTTCATGCGATGCCATTATTGCCAGTGTGGAGTTTTTTAAAAATACACAATATACAAAAATATTCTGTTATAAAAACAAATAATATACACCGTAATGAGATGTTTTCGATTTAATTAAGACCGTAATCAATTAAGATAAAATCAAATGAAACTAGATCGCCTGAAATGAAATAATGTGAAATAATGAAAGCACGCCCAGCAACTTTGTTTAATTATCCCGCATTTGTGCACTTTCGCAGATGCTAAGTCATTAATAAAAACATCATTATTAGACTTTTATACTAGCGGAGGAACTAAATTAAGAAAATCATGAAAACCCAAGTCAAACAAACTGTCAGACTTCAAGATAATGTTAAGTCATTCTGTTTCCAATGAACTACCAGACCTCAAGATACCGTTAGTTCATTCTGTGTGCAAAGAAACGTAACTATCAAGAAAACATTTCGATTGAAACTTTGACGGTAGTTAGCGCGATATTCAAATATCGATTCACCTCAGTTGTCCGTGATGACGGAAGTGACTAAAATGTCGGAAATAAACAAATAAAACAAATAAACGCGCGGAGAAACCGGTAAAAATATCCTTCGCAGCCTCCCTTCGGAGGTTTTATTTATTTTAATAAATTCGAACTCAATTAATTGGATTTGTTACGCGACGGGCAGTCCACGAGAATTATCCGCGATAAAACTTTTCGTAATACAACACCCAATGAATACGACACCCGAATTATATGAAGCACGCCAGGTAATCTGCCCACGTAATGCAAAATACCTTGAAACGTAATGTGTAACAACAGTTTCATAACATCATAACTATAGCTAACTTTATTGTCGAACTCTTTATAGTCAATCATAAATCAAAAATAAAGAGGGCAGTAATAAAATGAGTGCTAATTAATGTAAAATCAATTAAGCACC